TTGCATTGTGATGATAAAGTGAACTGTAATAATTGTTGTTCATGCGCGTTGTTTGGTTATGTGCAGACGTAACTTTGTTTGTGGCCAAATGCTTTTTATGTGTGAAATATTTCATGTAGGTTACTAGGTAGATGCTTTGGAAAAGTGAAGAGCTGCTTTGTCGACTGCTAGGTAGATACTGTCATGCATGCTGTTGTGCATCAGTAAGTGGCTGTCGTAATGATAAACAAATTTGGCATGGATAGGCTAAAGCACAGCATATGAAGCATGCTGGTTGATGACTAGTAAGATCCTGTTAACCGACTGGTAATATCACAATAAATGTCACATAGTAAACTATTGTTTTACGATGGTTGGCCAGCAAAGCAAAGCTGGTATCCAGATGACAAAAGGATGGTTTTACCATGATAAGTCATTAGTAAGCATTACCAGGGAGTAGCTAACGATAGTAAAGTCCTAGTTTCGTGCTAGTATCACGTGGGTTTTTGGGCATGGTATGACGACATATAGTTACCGTGTTAATACCATGGTAATTTTTACTGGCATTGGTATTCACATGGTTTTACATTCATATTAGGCCTAGTATTTGGGTCGTAAGTTAGTTTACCATAGGTAAGAGGCTGTTCAAAATATGACCACCACTCGAAAACTAACTAGGGTGGTATTTTTCTTAGTAGGCGGTACCAGGATAATACTAGCGTTAGTAGAGCTTTGGTTTCTTATTAGTTATGCTTTAGTTTCAAGGTAGTATGATGAAAAAATATTACCGTACTAAGACCATGGTATTTTGATGAGCATTGGTAGTTGCATAGTATTCCTTTGATATTGGGCCTAGTATTTGGATCGTAAACTGGTTTACCATAAGTAAAAGGCTGTTCAAAATATGACCACCACCCAAAAACTAACTAGGGTGGTATTTTTTTCTTTCAGTGTGACCGTCTAGTAAACTGCATCGGGCAGTTGGAGCAGCTGATCGGCTTCTCCTCACTGTGGCTCCGCATGTGTAGGTAAAGGTGTGACCGTCTGGTAAATCGTGCAGAGGAGATGGAACAGCAGTGCGGTTTCTCCCCTGCGTGGGTTCGCACGTGTGTCTTAAGGTCTGACCGTGAAGCGCAGGGGCGGCGCCACGGGTTTTCGATAGGGGGGGACGGGGACGGGGGCTTGCCTGACTGAGAATCCCAAAAGTAGATACTGATCGTGTATGCAAAAAAAAAAACGAGGCACGTAACGCCGCGAAACTTGGCAAAGCCCAAAACACATCGAATGGTGCATCCCGTTTCCAAACTTATCATAGGACAACTATAAGATCGATCACCTTTTCAAGCATCCTTGCCTCTAAATCAAAATTTGCAGTCTTGCCAACTCAAAGCTGGTTTCCTACAAGCTGCGAATTGCTTAGGTATGAGTAGCAGTGCCAACTACTTACGTTTCGTACTTTCAAATTTTCGATCTTGCGTCTGGTCAGCTTCATGGCTTCATCATCATATAGTCATGGAGGAAAAGTGGGAATGTTTTCTGCTCTGACAAGTGCGCCAAAACTGCAATATAATTTCAGAATCATGACATCACCACCTGATCCATATGCAACGGGCAGGGTGCAGCTAATGGCTAGCCGTCAGTGGTCATGTCATCGGTGGTCACTCAAAAGGTCATGCTAGGTCATGGAAGGTCACCAGCCGTTATTTGATCACACTTTCTGATGGATTTTACTTACCAAGAGCTTCAAGGGAAAAACGAGCGCATGCCGCATGCACCGTTGAAAAAATTGAGTGAAAGGGTCTCAGGTCCGGCGACCTCTGCAGGTGAAGTGCCCCAGGGTAGGATTCCGGTCCTTGTTGATTAACTTCGTCAAAAATTGCGGTACATAGAGCTGTGATGTCGGCACCATTGTGTTCGTCATGATCGAGCTGTCACGACCTGCATCGTTCTCATATTCACCCTCCAATCGTAACAACTACAGCAGGGATTGGCAAATGGCGTGGCACCCCTTTGGGAGGTAATGAAGGTCTCTTGAAACCTCATCCCTCATCTCTTTAGCATCAGTGGCTCTCCTTATGGAACAGGTTTCTTGACTGGTCTGTTTCACCCCAGAATTCAAAGACTAGTCAAGGTAAAACCGAGCGCACCACAGTGAGCACAATTTGATAAGCTGGTGTATCTCAATTTCATGTAGAACCTTTCACGTATCACGTACCTAAAACCCTTTCGTGCACTCATGCAAAAGCAACTGCCATGTTTCAACAGCTGGTAATGGCATTTTCACAGCCGCTGACGTAAGAAGGGGAGGGAAGGGGGCTTGATTAGACCCCCAGCCGTTCGGCCGCCGACCGAACTTAGTTTTGCAGAAAAAAACGAGTGCTATCGAACCCCTTGACGAGAGGGTGCCGATGCTACCCAATTATAAGATCTTGGGCTACGGCGTGCTTTTTTGGTCCTGCCTGTGATCTATCCGAACACTTCTGCCCACAAGTGCTGGGTTAAATGGCATATATTTCAAATGGTTCCTGTGGTAGAGCTGCCATGCTTGAATTTGACTAATTAGGAATGGAAAATATCCATATAGTAACGGAAATCTATGGAATTTCAGTAAACTTGGTTTTGTCGGCAATGTGGTCTGGCAGTGGGGTGGGGAGGTAATAAACCCTGTCTGGCGCCCCAAAAAGGGGGGGCACGATCCCCGAGGCCCTGCCGATCACCTTATGACTACAGGCATCACAGCTCCACACCTTTTGCAGATGGCCAGGACCCCCTGCGATACATCCCAACAGCAATCTTTATTCAGAACCTGTCTTGATTAACCAACGATGCATTAAATGCGACGGATAACTCTACAATGCATTATTATCAACTATTGAACGGACCTCGCCGATAGGGGGGTACTGTACCCCCCTAACTTTCGATAGCGGGGGACCTGTCCCCCCCGTCCCCCCCGGTGGCGCCGCCCATGGTGAAGCGAACAGAGCCGGGCAGATTGAACACCCGTGCGGCCGCTCCCCCGTGTGGGTACGCATGTGATTGTCGAGGTTTGACCGTCGAGCGAACCGTGCCGTACAGATGGAGCAGCCGTGCGGTCTCTCCCCAGTGTGGATGAGCATGTGTGTGTCGAGGTTTGACCGTCGAGCGAACCGTGCCGGGCAGATGAAGCAGCCGAACGGCCGCTCTCCAGTGTGGGTCCGCATATGTGTCGTGAGGTGTGATCGTTGAGTGAACCGTGCAGTGCAGTTGGGGCAACCGAACGGCCGCTCCCCAGTGTGGGTCCGCATATGTACGGTGAGGTGCGAACGGTCAACGAACCGTGCCGGGCAGATGGAGCAGCCGTACCGCCGCTCCCCCGTGTGGGTAGGCATGTGTCTGATGAGGTCTGCCTGGTAACCGAACCGTGCTGGGGAGATGGAGCAGCCGTATGGCCGCTCATTCGTGTGAATCCTCATGTGTCGAACGAGTTTGGATCGGTTACTAAATCGCGCAGCACAGGTGGCACAAGCATATGGTCGTTCACCCGTGTGAACCATTCGATGTCGTGTAAAAGCTTCGGAACGGTCGGTGGAGTACGGACACCACTCGCACTTGAATCTGCCGTTCCTGACGACGTCACCGTGCCGTGTCTTCAAGTGTCGGTCCAGACACGGTTGTTCCGAACAGCGGTAGTCGCAGTGAGGACATCGAAGGGCACCGCCAATACCTGTAGAACACATTACAGGACTTTTCACTAGAGTTGCCAGTAAAAAAGTTCGTAATTAACTGTCCATAAACCAAAGGACCTCGAAACACGAACATTGCAGGTACAAAGGAAACCAAAGTTATATATTGTTGTAGTTTTATTCTGGGTAACATCACCAGCAGGACCTGAACGAACAGAAGCCGGCTGTCAGCCTCGGATCCCTGCCGTTACAGCTCAAACGGGCACATTGTCGAAATTCAAGTCATGTTCGCTGCATAACCTGGTTGCCACAAGCCAAATTGCTTCGTGCGCAAATCGCTGTTCGTGGGGAATAGACTGAAGGCTAAAAACGATCGCTGCGACTGCCGACTCTTATAGAAGCTCAAGAGCACATGCTTAAAGGTAGTGTGCCAGCTTTCCTGGACCATATGGAGTTAATGACCCGGATAAGGAGAATCGGATTTTTAGAACTTATCCATACCTTCAAAACTCATTAAAACGTCTTAAATTCTTCAAATTTTGAGTACCCCAGTGCGAAATTCGCCCCGACGGGTTGTCGGTCGTACCCCAACCACATTTCACACCACTATGAACAATAAATGCACACACTAAAATCGCTATTACCGATAGGCTCATCCAATCAAGTTTCGATAAACCCGTTCATCATCATCTCCGGCGGTTTCGAACACGCCTGTTAGGTGGCTTCTGATGCTCGTCGAGGTCGGAATTTCCAAATACGCGTGGTGCGTCGGGCCGCGCGCTCTGACTTCGGCCAAGAAAAATGCGTCAGCTGATCATTGTCATTTCTGCCACTTGCGTGTGGTGTAATGGGGTCATAACTTAAGAGACGGCTGTTTCATATTAATTATTTTACATAAAATCATATTTCAAACCACAAATTAATGTTCGACAGCCAAATTTAAGAAACAATACCAATACAGGCTTACAGTTTAAGGCTCGACATTGTGTTGTCTACGATTAGACAGCTGATAACTCATTCCCGTACGTCGTATGGTCGTAACACTATAATGACCTTTGCTTATTGTCACAAGTGCGCCGCATTCGCGATTGTTGCCCGACGCCTGTTTGCAGGTGAGCCCACTACAGTTGTTATACATATCTAAAAACCGATAAACTTTTAGGCGAAAAAGGCACTATTCCAGGCCCATTTTTGATTTTTTTTTGCGATATTAGGTAAAAACAGAAGCTTCTTATCCTAGGAAAAATAAAACGGGAAATCTTTCAAAGGTGGCACACTACCTGTAACATCTCACAGCGCGAATCCGGCGCCTAGTTCTACTTCTGCCACCGGGCCACCGCACCACGGCAAACGGACGGCACCAGAACAGTACTGTATTATACTCATCGTGGCCAGCCGATCCATCCGAAAATTGCTATTCTTGGCTGCCGAGTCAGGTGAAAGTTGAAACGAGTGAGGCGGGCACAATATTACACACAAAACACACACGTCACCTCTGCACAGTGCACACATATGTATGTACGTACATTAGCGCCACCGCTCCGCTATACACTGGCCGGGTCGCCGCGTTGCTCACAAAGCCGGAACTTCCAAAACTCTCTCCGGAAGAGCCTCGGACCGAGATCGGGCATCGCCGGAGGCAGAGCGCTACACTGCGATACAGTGGCGTATAGGAACAACACATTTTTGCAAGAATCAGGTAGATTTACCGGTGAATACTAAAGTACCCATTCTGTTCGCTGAGCCTGGTGGGCCTGCGCCCGTCGCTGGGCACGCGTGGGGGCGGCTGGCTGCGCGAGACAATCCGAGACACGGCGGCGGCGGTATAGCAGTGTAGTGATATTGGAGACAGTGGACAGATTAGCTGAGATTTGGCGCCACGAGATAAGCCCATGGCTTTTGCGCCAACTCTCCATAATGCAAACTCGATGTACTTCATGCACTTTGCCAATATACTTCGTGTGTGTTACTATAATAGCCAATAATGTAGGAAAAGGTATATGTACATATAGAGAAACCTTTGGGTTATCCTGTACACCATAGCGACGGTGGATGTCGCCACATTCAATGAGGCTTATATATTGAACCTAATCTCTATAGACGCATGCTTGTGTCATATAGCTCAGCGTTAGCACAAAATATCACTGTGACGTCACCCAAGAGTCGGCGCTAGTTGGTCGGGAGGCTCGTGTGTTTCGTTAGAGAAATGCGCTCCCCGGTGTGGGTCCGCATGTGCCCGATGAGGTCTGACCGTATATAGAACCGCGCCGCACAGACGGAACAGCCGTAGGGCCGCTCCTCAATGTGTGTACGCTTATGTTTGTTGAGGTCTGCCTGGTGACCGAACCGTGCCGAGCAGACTGAACAGCCGTATGGAAGGTGCTCAGTATGGGTTCGCAAGTGTCTGTTTACGCTCGACTGAAAAACAAACCGCGCCGGGCAGAAGGGGCAGCTGAACGGCCTTTCAGCAGTGTGAGTACGCATGTGAGTGTTGAGGTTTGACCGTCGAAAAAATCGTGCCTTGCAGATATAGCATCCGTGCGGCTTCTCCCCAGTGTGGATCCGCATATGTCGAATGAGACTGGCTCGGGAATTAAATCGTGTTGAACAGGTGGTACACCCATATGGCCGTTCGCTCGTGTGGCTTTTTCGATGTCGTTTAATGCGGGCGGAAGAGTCCGAGGAGTACAGACACCACTCGCAATGGAATCTGCCGATCCTGACGACGTCACCGTGCCGTGTCTTCAAGTGTCCGTCTAGACACGGTTGTTCCGAACAGCGGTAGTCGCAGTGAGGACATCGAAGGGCACCGCCAATACCTGTAGAGCACATACAGGACTTTTCACTAGAGTTGCCAGTAAAAAAAAGTTCGTAATTGAACTGCCTATAAACCAAAGGACCTCGAAACACGAACATTGCAGGTACAAAGGAAACCAAAGTTATATATTGTTGTAATTTTATTCTGGGTAACATCACCAGCAGGACCTGAACAAACAGAAGTACGCAGTCACCCTCGGATCCCTGCCGTTACAGCTCAAACGGGCACATTGTCGAAATTCATGTGGTGGAAATTCATTGTCGAAATAGCTATGTGGACAGTTAAACTGACAAATATGACATTTGTTAAGTAGAACGAGAGCCGAACGTTCTTTCCGTGGCCGGTCAGGCGGGCCAAAAGCGCTGGGTCTGCGAGTCGATAAGGGTCATTTCACGCTTCTGTGCGGCTGACTTTGGTCCATCGTGACACTGAGCTGTGTGATTGCGCCTTATTGTCGGCTGTGGGAGACGCATATTAATGTTTGGAAATGTTGCTTCGCTAAATATTGTTCTTTTGGCGTTCAGCTTTCTTTGGAACTCCAAAATACATGTTTATATTTTCAAGAATGTCCGGGATCAGAAAAGGCCATCGATCGATTTTGATAAAAATTACATTTTTGGATTCAGCTCACCTCACCGTCAGCTTTCAAATGGTATATATCGTTTCTTTTGAGCCTGAGATGACCTTCCGACGAACCGTGGTGGGTCCGCATACATACGTCTGTTAAGAGTTGACCGATAAGCGAACCGTGCCGGGCAGAAGGAGCAGCCGTGCGGCCGCTCGACGGTGTGGGTCCGAACGTGTACGTTGAGCTTTAGCCGTTCAGAGAACCGTTGCAGATGCAGCACACAACTGGCCGCTCCACGCGGGCGGCTGTAAGTGCGCAGGTGTTTAGGGATGTTCGGCTGTTCACTGCGCACGCTGGGGCTATCCCGATTTCTCGGGTCCGGCAGGTCAGAGGGCTGCTCCGGGACGTGAAGCGAGGCCGTGCCCTCGGGACATGTCACCGGACCGAACGATCTGTTTGAAGGCGGATCAGGCCCGTGTATGTATCTGCGGTCGGGGGTGCTGGCTGGCACAGCGGTAATCCCCACGACCGAGCGAACACTCCCCAGTAACGTACCGGTCTTGGCAATGCGCGCTCTCTCGTATTTATGTTTCAACACCTCTACCAGTAGCGCTAACTTACCTTTTTATGGATTACAATAATCAAACAAGACACTGATAATGATACCATACCATTGCACGCATGTACTTGCGTCATGTGGTGGGTCACTGGCGATGTCGATGATCATATATGAATCTCACCCATGGAAACCTAGCTTATTCCCTATATCCTTCTCGCTTCCATCGGAATGGCTCAGTAACCAACCAATCGACGAGGACAAGCAATTTGGTGTCCGGGGGAGGATTCATCCCACGAGGGGCCCAACTTCAATAGGAACCATGAACCAAACGTCTTCAGCAGCGCACTGACCTGAGGATGACGGTCCGGCCGGAGAGGGAGTCACAGACTCCCCAGACGTCTCCGAGTGGACGGTCAGCTCCCGGGGGGCCGAGTCGTCTCCGTAGTACACCAGCAGCTCTGAGCCTTTCGGGATGGGCTTTGAATTCCTGAAAAAGGTCGATAAATAATGGGTTAAGTTAACATATAAAAATTGTAGGCGATTATTAAGCAAACGACCACTTACATCTTTTGCGACAGATTTAACTTTATATTGACTCGAGGTCAAATCTGATGGTATACGGCGAGCAAAACTTAAAGACAGCTATCGGACGCGTTTCTTTTTTCGCGACGCAATAGCTTTTTGGCTTGCGAGTTATGCGTACGTTAAGTTGTGAAGCATTGCTAACACCCGGAAATACTATGATACTATGACTATGACTATGAATACGGAAATACTATGACTTTGGGGACCTCCAGCAAACTCAGAGTTGGCCTCATCGAAAAATGACCTAAAGGAACTCACAAAGAACCATCAATTGTTTTACCGAAATATACTATTTTGATTAAACGGCAAATCCAGTGAATCAAGTGCTAACCGGAAGTCTCACGCTGTATTCCAAGCAGCCAGGTAGCGTCAATGTCACGTGCCTTGACCGATAATTGAACCAGACAGGTTGAATCTAGAGGCAAGAAACTAACCCCTAGACCAGATGCTCCCCACTGAGCCATGCTTACTTGTCCCGGTCCACCTCAGTGAAGCCGAAGAAGTCCTCAGACGATGACGGCAACTGACACCGCAAGTTTTCCTCCTTCACCAGAGACTGCAGAGCGCTGACCGACAAAGGATCCTCATCCGGTGTCCATGGTAGGAAGGGCAGCTCAGCCTGGATCAAACAGGGAAATGAAGCCACTGTCAAAAAACGACACCAATAAATATCTTACCAGGATTTGTCCGGGCACCTTTAGCAAACGCAACAAACTCAGCTATTCAACCAAATATATAGTCAACAGTTAAATAATTGTTAAAAATTGGTTAACCTAATAGGTAATATCGACACCTATAACTATCAAATTATAAAACAGAAAATATTGGGACAGGAGAAAACTGGGCAGACGATACTTCGTCACCTCTATGGATTCAATCCTTGCTGACGAAACCTCTTGAAAAAGGGTTCTGCGCAACACCTCACCGTCATTTTAGCGAGCGACATTTGAGTGGAACTTTTTCAGCGATTATCAACTTAAGCGATTGACTTTTTCAGCGATTGCCAATTGGGCGAATTCGATTACAGCAATTATCATCTAAAGCGAGGGCCAGAATGAACGAAGCCAGATTGAGCGAATATATTGCGGTCAATGGGAGACCAATGGAGCGACTTCAGTTACAGCGAACCCGACCTCAACGAACACCCATCATTGACCACTTTCCGGGAATTCTTGCCAATGGAATACCCGTCTAGTATGTGCCTTGCTTCAGTTTGCACAAGGTAAAATAAAAATTTGGTTTCAAGCTTGGAAACCACAAAGAGATTAGGCCTCACCCCGCAACTTTAAATCATTGCTCTTGAAATGTTTCATTTTTTAACCTTTTCATTTATCACGATCACATTCTTTAAAGAAATCCGATCGAAACATGATAAGTCACTTGCCCCAAAACCCGCCAAAATTGCAGTTGCTGCAGCCCAACAAGGGGTGACCAGCAAGTGGTGGGAGGGGAAGAAAGCGGCTAAATTTGATCTTGAAATGTAGAAAGTGAGAGATAGAACGACGAGGGAATCTAGAGGGCCAACAATAAACTGGAAGGATGTCACAGAGGAATCCAATCAATTTTTCAAGGTGAAGGGCCTCACTCAAATATTTAGAAATTCGTACCTACGATGTTTGGGGCAAGAACAAATTTTTAAGCATGGAGAAGTGAGAACTGATCCAAATTGAAACGCAAGGACAGGGGGTGAACTTCAACCGTTTTTTTATATTATAAATGTAGCGTTAAATTTAGAGCTAAATGTATTAGTTTTTAACGTGGTACCCGCGTTCCAGTTACCCATGGGAATTCCAGCAATATTCGTGCCCATTAGTAAAAAGATACCGTTACGAGAGGATGAAGTATTTCACTCAACATGGCAATCGGTTAAATAGTAGTTGACGAAATAGATGTCGCTGAAACATAGCTTTCGCTATAATTGATAGTCGCGCTGAAACGACAGTAATTTCTGAAGATGATTCGCTCAAATGACGTTCGCTCAAATGACATTCGCTAAAGTCGCTCGCACCGAGAAGTGCACTACACTGACTGACCTCTAGCGAATAGACCTCCTCTTTCCCCTCACTCTCGATATCTTCATCGATCTCTTCCTGGATCTCTCCTTTGACCTCTTCCTCGATCTCTTCCTTCATCTCTTCCATGATCTCTGCTTTGATCTCCTCCTTCACTATTGATAATTCTTGAAAGACGCTGTCTGTAGTATTGTGCACGGCGGTGAAGTCGTCCCACTCCCCACCATGAGCGGGCGCCTCAGATAGCGACGGGCGCTGACCCTCGCCGATGTCGGCCGGTTCCATCCGGCCCTGCCTCACTCGTACTGGTGTCTTTGCCGACAGGGGTGACGTGGCGGACATGACGAGCGCTGGCTTGAGATCTGGACAAATGAATCTGGAAATGGAGAAATGGAACATGTTAGGGTAGGCATCACCACAACAAGCGGCAAATGTTCAGGGTTCTGAGTCTCGGACACTGGTGTTGTTTTGCTGGCCAAGTGTGTGTCACTGCTGCTGCTTTGAGCAGCTTCCCATTCCCTCTCATCAGCAGAGGGTTGTTTCTTGGAGAGGTAGGTATGCATTTGATTATGGACCAATTGCATAGTGGAGCAACTGGAATGCCAACATAACGTCTCCTTTGCAGTGGTGGTAAAACAATGAAGACAAACAAACAGACCATGTCGATGTGTTATTATGTAGTCTATATGCATAAAGCATTAAAGGAAACAGTCCACTTTCCTCAAATCAGTATTTTGCTATTAATTTATGATTTTTTATGCTAAAAATAATCATGAAATAAAATAAAACCTTTTCGTAAAAACAATTATTTTCTATATTTTAATATAGGACGAACTATATTCTATGTAAAATAATGTTTGACGCGGAAGCTTATTACGCATTGACCAATCATATTGCGTAGCTCAAACCTACGCATACTGCATTGGCTGTAAGCAGCACGCTGATTGGCTGACGATGACGTGGCTGCATTCCTGTGCAAGGCACGCATTCCTCTACAAGGCACTCTTTTCGGAACGAGAAATGGAATATCTTCGTCTAGGGTGATCGTTGAGCCGTAAAAGCTCCTGATTTGTGCTAGTCTCAGCTCAAGCTACGAAACTGCTATTCCAGCTCAAAACCCCATGTTAAAAGTGAACTATTTCCTTTAAGGCAATGCTACTTCTACAATGCTGATGCCTAGGTGTTGATGATGTTATAATGGATGCGTTTTAAAGCAACTTTTCAGCAATTTGATATTTTTTCTAATCGAACCTAGCCAAATCTAACCTAACCTAACCTACCCTAGCCTGACATTACCTCACCAAACTTAACTAAACCTGCTGATTTTTTTTTTTATTCAACAAGGGCAAGGAAGGACAATGACAAGGGGACAAGGAAGTAGATAGTAGGGGAGAAACTGCAAGGTAAGTTGTAGGTTGGAAAATTGCAGACTAGTACATAGGTCATAGGTTGGTAGGTTCCTGGTTGGTTATGTTAGATGTTGATCTCTGAATATTATTTTCACCAGTTACATCATCAACAAGTCCCAGCATTGTGGGTAACCGGTAATGTCACACAAATGTGCCCCAACAATACTATTGTTGGGGCACAACTATACCCCAACTATACCTTGCACGCTTACAACAGAAAAGTGGGTAAATTATAGAAGTCAGAATGAATGGGTTATCATTCTAACTTCTAACCTGACCTAAACTAGCCTTATACCTACTAACTAACCATTTTACCTACAACCTACAAACTAAAACCACCTACCTACGACTTATTTGCACTCAGGTTCTGATTCATACCTAGGTGAAGTTAGGATTTAATTGGTGAAATTCAACTTATATAGTCTCTGCTGATGACCAACAAGATGGCTGGTAGGTTGGTTTGGGTTAAGCACCATATCTGGTGGACCAGCATATTTACGTCTGGACAACGAGTTGCGGGGAAAAGTGCTGATTTTGTTGCAGTTTTAGGAGCCGGTGATTAGGCTGGATTTTTGGGTTACTTTTTCGTTCCGATTCATGTATTTCATAGTGTTTGGCTTTTGAATATTTTAGTTCTTTCAGATAAATATTACTTGCCTTACAACGTTTGTAAAAACGTTTCATTTTTTTATAAGCCGACGTTCAGAGTCCTAAAAATACATCAGCACTACAATCATTGTAAACAAACAAATGGAGCACCACTTGGCTCTGTTCCAAGGCCATTTTTAGTTTATCTGGTGGTTTTCTTACTCTTGTACGTCGTTTTGTTGGATGTTTTGAATCCCTTAAGATTGACTTATATCATATATAAGAAGCATGTTGACTGAAAACAATCTGAAGTATCCAGGAGGCTGACAGAGGTCCTGACTCCTGAGGCGCACCTCCTGAGCAATATCAATATTGATATCAAGTCAAAGTTGAACAGGTTATGAAATTTTGGTTGATAAACGAAAGTTGATCGGGCTCATATATCAGCAAGAAAAAGTTAAATTAAAAGAGCTTATTGGCCAAAAACAAGCTATAATATTGCAGACCTTGGAGCAATACTGAAGAGCACGCTGAGCAGGATCATGCCAGAAAATGTTGACTGATGAGCGCATATTCATGTATTGGTATGAATATTGAATGATAACTTACAACAGCAAGATAAATTAGTGCTAACTATCAAGTTAGAAATCTAGAATGAATGGACTTGGGCAGTTTTACTATGCAGTATGCTTAGATGCTATGCAGATTGTATAATGTGCATCAGGTACTCTGGCTGGCAAATGAAACATGCGATCATTCCATTGCTACTGGAGGAGAAAGCTTGGATCACTAAATCCACTTTATGTTGATTTTGATGTTAATCATCACTGTATTTCTTGAAAAAGGATTGTAGTAAAATTGTCAATGTGACAATCCATGCAACGATGTGATCATATAATGTGTTCATACTTCATAGTCATTCGTGATAGTGATTATTGGTCCAATATACAATGGCAAAGCTCTCAGCCTCAGCGTTTCTTCCTGTGGATGGCAAGTACTGACTCAGAGCTTAGAAGTATTAGTTTTCATCACAGGGTTGGGATAAAAAGTACTGATGGTAATCTTCCACCAAGGAACTCTACTTTGACATGGTATGAGATGTAGGCACAAGTAGGTAGGTGCTTAGTTCCTATAGTCAGTAGTTGTGTATGTTTAGTCAGGTTAGCTTAGATTAGATTGTTAGTTTTTTTTTTTTAATTTGCCAAGTGTCCATAAAAATGTGACCTGAGCAATGAGCATACCTGACTAACCTGACAGCTGACCTAACCTCAATCATCACGTACATATTTGCAGCCTACCCAAGACCTGCATAGCAGTAGCACCCAGTTATAGATAGGTACTCAGTACTCACCCTAACTCAATCTTACCTGCTAACCTTCAACTTGCCAAAAGTTAGCTCACATTGCCAAGCTGCATCCAGGGAAACAGTCAACTGAGGAATTGGCTCATTGGGTGGCTAGTGTGAGTCTGTGCATTTAAAGTGTTTCTTCTCTGAAGCTGCTCAGCACTGCTGTATGTCATGTTAGATGCTCAGAAAATGTGGAAATGATTACTAAGCTACTTAAGTGCTTTGTTAATGCTCGAGACATGAACAAGTACAGATCCTGCAGGGTACAGCTATGAGTTAGGTGCTAGGTGAGTATGTTATGTGAATGTGCTGTTCCCTGTTTGACGATAGTAAGTATACAAACAAGCACAGTGTCAGTTATATTCAATCTCCACATAAACATACAACAAAAATGGCCATATAGCCTAACTCCAAAGTCCGAACACACCACAGATAACTTAAGCCTTTGCAGGCACAAAAATGTTTTGATTAACAGGACAGGTATACAATATATCCTCTGCCCTTGGGGATCTTGCTGCTAAGTTGAGGTACGATGACTGAACTTCAGGATTGATCAACCTTTTCTTAGCCACTGCTTATATACAAGAAAGACCAAATGCTTGTTTGTTTTGATTTACAGGACATGTATACAATATATTATATCCTCTGTCCTTGGGGATCTTGCTGCTAAGTTGAGGTACGATGACTGAACTTCAGGATTGATCAACCTTTTCTTAGCCACTGCTTATGTACGAGAAAGACCAAATGCTTGTTTGTAAACTGCGTTGAAAATTTAATGATCCACCTTCAATACTGACATGAAGGCACAAATGAAATAGTGAACAATATTGATATTGATATACACTGACGCTTTTCGCTTCATATTTTGTAACAAACGCGCTAAAACTGCAATATGACAGCACTATATGCTTCTTGACAAAATAAGAAAGTAGTAAAAAATTAGCCCTGATGGCATTCATTCTTGGTGGAAACGTAATTACAAAATGTTTTGTAGTAATTATTAAATTCCGGCCGAAAACAGTGCACGGTTTAAAAAAGAATCATTCCAATGACGGTCCATTCTTGCGGTCCTGAAATCGCCACTATTTCCGGCCTCTCCAACGCAACTCGTTGTCCAGACGTAAATATGCGGTGGACCAAGTGCTAACCAGAACTTTTACACACACCATTTCAAGTGGACAGCCAGCACCCAGCGCCATGGAGGTAGAATGGTTAGCCGTTTGTTTACATCAGTGACATTGACAAGATGACATCAACAGGTGTCTGCCAGCCTTTGCCAATATTTATTTTTTGAGGATTTCAGCCTCAAAGGCACTCTGATATTAACCTTTGGGCTCCCTTAGAGCCTAAAAAAGATCATTTGCTACAGAGCAATATCTTTAAAATAAAAAAACCTTGACACCCCACGACGTCATCTGTCTCCTGAGCCCTCCCTATGTAATAGCATAGAACCCGAAGCCCCTGGCAGCGCCCAGCGGTGATGCCATTGGCCCATTTGCAATGCCAGATGGAAGTGGAACCAATCCAATCCTGGATGGCTGAATCTACACATAAGGAACGTAACCCTCGACCAGTATAAGAATCAGAATGCTTCTTGCCCAGTGAGATGGCGAAATTGTAACTTAACACAGCTTATTATTACCTATTTATAGTCACCGTGATTATTACTATGAACAGTTACTTATCGCCATGCCCTTGACTAGCCCTTTAGTGCCCTGGACTAGCCTAGACCACTCCAGGTATAAAAACACTGGACCAAGCAAACTGAAACTGAAATGATATACTACGACCAAGGCAACCAAGTTATGATTGATGAAAACACAAATGGATCCTAACTTACAGCCTTGAATGCATCACTATTTCCAAGGCCCCAAAGGCCCTTGCCCTCTCTTGCCAAGCATGGAGGTGAAAAGTGCTGCCAAGGACCTAAGCTGCCAAGAACCTGAGAGCGGAAATGGCTCAGCTTGAAGCATTTGCTTTTGACCCGGTCTGCGATTGTATTTTATCGTTTTTTCTGCTATGGGTTGTGACCTGAAGGGACTTGCTATTGAATAGCCTAGGAAACGAATATAGCACGGACATTTAAAATGTTGCAGCAAAATAAAGATAAAGAGTTTGCGACAAAAATTACGCAGCTGCTACATTTTTGTGGAGCATAAGGCCACTAAAAAAATCTTCGACTTTTGCACGTAATGCATCAACTTTGTCAACATTGTGTCGACTTTGTGTCAACGTCTCGAAGAGCGGCTCGCTGACACGATCACAGCTGCTGATTGTTGACATAAAAACAAAAAAGCTGTGAAATTAAAGCTGACAATTTGACAAGGCTGGTTACTCTCGCGTAGTGAAAGCTGTTTGTGATGCAAACAGCTCTTGCCTCCAAGACCAAGGCCTCTTACAATTAAGCTGCAGCGTTTGCAGAGGTTGGCTTCATATTTTGAGAGGGTTTGTGTTGCAGGGGCCTAGTCAACCAGATAGAAACTGTTCATGCAAGTTTGAGAACAGTCAGGATGAATATACATTATTTTGCTCTTCTGTTCCTTGTATCTGTGACTTGCTCTACCACCACTGATGTTGAAGAGGATGAAGGTGTTCTGATTTTAAATGAAAACAATTTTGAAGAAGTTGTTGCAGAGACAAAGTTGTTACTGGTGGAATTTTGTAAGTACATCCTTGCTTTTACTGAATACATAATTCATTGAAGTGGTGTAGGATTAGTATTAGTATAGGCACCCTGGTGATTTATGCACTGACTTATTGGTCATTTTACCAGCAGACTCACCGGGGTCCGTGCCACTTTCACACTGATGGGGGCAGATACCTGCCCGTGATATCTTGAGAACAAAGCAAGCTAGCAACAGGAGGTTAATGGCATGTGATACAGATGGGCAAGGCCTAGAATAATTACTGAGGCCATTTTCAGGTCAGGCTAAAAAAAATGAAGTCACAGGATTAAATAGAATGGGTAGTTTTCACATTTTTTTTAAATAATGAGCCTAGGCAGAAACTATTAGGTTTGTGATCCATTGTGATCACAAACCTAATAGTTTGTCCCATTGTGATCCTCTCCTCAATCTGCTTCAAAACATGTGGTGACCTAAAAAAGTGAAGGTCAAAGGTTGACTTCAGGTCACACGACCTGAAGGTCATGTTGCGTATCATTCAATGCAATTTGACAAACAGGTCATATTATAATGAGACTATTCACATGGTTGTAACTCATTTCTGTGAGGAGTTATCAGCAAAAATTGCATGGTAACCTATGAGGACGTCTCTCAGGTCTGTCATCAGCTGTTGGGTTTCCTCAGCCTTGCTCTCAGCCCAGCTAACAGGAAACGTTACTACAACGTTGTCACAACGTCGTGTTTCGGTAAGTTGCGAAATTACGTTTTAATTACGTTGTAGCAACGTTCTGAACGTTGTGAAGCCATGGTTTGGTCCGAAAGTCGTGGTAAAACGTCGTGACAACGTTTTATTGGTACGTTGCAGCAACCGCGCACTTGCAGCATTATATTTTGATAATGCATGGTGACATATATGGCCATATAATGCATTTCCTTTGACTTTCAATGCGCATATTCAGTTTTCATCGTTAAATATTTGACATATTTTAACACTTGGACTGTTCACGTTGTCAGCTGGTGGTCGCCAACACGTTGTTAAAACGGTTTTTCACAACCTTGACATTATAGGTACTGAATAATTAGCGCCTAAATTCCGATACCTTTCTCTCCCTATCTCTCTCTAATATATATATATATATATATATATATATATATATATATATATATATATATATATATATATATATATATATATATATATATATATATAACATGTGTAAATTGCAAAGCGTCATTGGCATGTTTTGCAACATCACAGGCGGAGCTAGAGGCTTGCAACTATCCCTATGTAAACGCGGCTGTTATCCGCGGCTGCCAGCAAGCCACGCGGGCCGCCACTCAGGCGAACGGTGGCTCGCGCCCTGACCTCGCCTGAGGGGCCGTGACGTCAGTGTCACCGGCCGGCGTTCAGAGCCAGCCGGCCGAGCCGCAGTCTACGCGGCGCGAGCGAGCAGTGAGGGCCGGCGGCGGGCGCGGCTGAGATAGCTGGAAGATGAAAGATAGCGCCAGTTGTCTGCGTTTGATGCGATTGTTGTTTTGACTGGTAAGTCAAAGTACCATTTACGAGTAGCATTTGCAAGATTGTGCCTTGTAATATCGTGCGGTCTAGGCTATAGTTCATTGTAGCTCTAGCCTCTAAGGTGTTGACATGTTTCAGTTTGATCCAGCCTGTCGCACTGTTACGGAAAGTGGTGCAGGTATTTTTGTGATTTTTTCATGAATTGAATGTCTGATTTTCCCTCATGTCTTCCCGCAGACGTCCCGCAACTCGTCAGCGCGCCTTGCGGCAGGCCTACTGTCGGCAATGCGGTAGCGAAGTGGCTGTCCGGAAGCTGCGACCGGAACGGGGGGTGCGCAGACCGTCTAGTCAGGCACTGCCAGCTGCCTAGGGACATCGAGGCCGCAAATGAGCCGGTGCCTAACGGTCCGCCGAGTGATCCTCCCAGCGAGGGTTAGTAAAGAAGTGAACTTCCACCAGTTCTGGCGTGCTAGCGGCTAGCGTCAGAGCCGGTAGAACCCAATTCCGTCCCACGCCCCCATGGGGGCGCCCCTGGGCCTCATGCCCCATCACCGATGCCGCCGCCGTCGTTTTGTTTGTTTGTTGTAAATTGACCTGTATGATGTATTGAAATATACACTTCTTACATGCCTTTTTTACAAGTCTAGAGAACGGGAAGAGAGCGTCGGGAACACATTCTGAGTATGTTGCGAACACGTTGAGAGGGCGTTGCGAAAATGTTTAGGACGTTTACTCAGGGTCGCAGGGACGGCAATGCGAAGTAGCGACAACGTGGTGCGCACGTGATAAAAACGTCGCAGAGACGTTGCCAAAGCGTTCTATACTCCTTGTAGTCACGTTGCGGAAACGTGGTGACAACGTTCCAGAAACACTGTTGGTACGTAACAGAAAACATTTCATAACGTTGGCGGGACGTTGTAAGAACAGTTTTGGGACGTCACGGCCACGTTACAGAAACGTTGTGATGACATTCAAATGCATGGTCGGATGACGTTGTCACGCCGTTGTCTGGAGTCTACAAAATTACGTTGTCACAACGATAAATCGGGACGTTGTGGTAACCATTTGACAACGTTTAAACGACGTTGTAACAACGGCAAATTGTTAGCTGGGAGGAGAGGAGTGAGAAGGAGGGAAACCTAAGTCATTCAGAGACGCGCCAATTCCAAAGGATGTAGCTGGACACAAGCTGGGGCAAGTGGGTGGGGCTTTGAGTCAGGGAATGGGTGTTGTGTGTCTACATGTGAATTGTTGTGAAAACTTGAAGTCTTTTAATCTACCTCAGTGGTCCTAATGCTTCACAAGGAAAGAAAGAAAGAAAGAAAGAAAGAAAGAAAGAGATAGAAAGAAAAGGCAACTCTCATGACCTTACAGTTCACCAATAGCAAACAAGACATCAAGTTCCAATGAAGTCAAGTTAAGTCATATATGAAGTCACCATTCATGGTAAAATTGGCTATTTCAGTGAAAAAGATCAGGCAGTTGATTTCCCCCCCCCTTTGACTTAAAATGGGGAGGTCAAGAAATTGACCTTGCTGTCATTCCGCCGGTGACCCTCGCCCCGAGCGGACGACGGACGTGTGTGCGGCGCGCTCCGAGCCAAGCGAGAGAGCCTGGCGAGCAATAGTGAATGAAATCTAGGCTGCGTTCGGACAGCCCGGTTTCCACGTGGAATTTCCGCGCTGATGAATTCCTCACGGCACGATCCGTTTCGCCGTAGCGTGGCCGCGGTGCTGCGGTGGTTGGGATCCCCCCCCCCCCGGACCAGGCCGGGTTAATGAAAAATTTCAGGAGAGGGTGGGGGGGGGGGTGGAAAGCCGCCTTTCTTCGTTGAGCGGGTTAAAACAATTACTTACCTTGGTATCGTATCAAAATCGTGATTTTTGTTTTATTTTTTATCACCAGGTTGTACTGCAAACAGCAAACACCATTCATTTGTGGCAGTGTTAGCAGTGGTCCTAAAACGTGACTCCTTTGATAATTGATATCTATCCTGAACATTTCAGATGCTCCATGGTGCGGCCACTGTAAGAACCTGGCACCGCACTACGCCAAGGCTGCCCAGCAGCTGCGCAGAGAGGAGGGCGCTGTGGGTACAGCGCGGCTCGCCAAAGTCGACTGCACGCGCCACAAGAAACTGGCCGAGAGGCACAGCATCCGCAGCTATCCGACGCTGAAGCTGCACACGGGCGACCGCTGGGTGGACTACGAGGGCGAGCACACGGCCGAGGCGATCGCGGCGTGGGTGCGGCGTCGCGCCGGTCCGCCGGCCGTCACAATCACCACCGCCGATCAGGCCGAGACGTTCCTGGCGCAGAGCGAGGCGGCCGTGGTGGGGTTCTTTGCGGGCGGCGCCGGCGCCGGCTCGTTCCTCGAGTGGGCCGAGCGGGAGGAGAGCCTGCCGTGCGCGTTGGCCACCACTACAGAGGTGGCCGACAAGCTGGACGCTGCTGACGGCAGCGTGGCCATCTTCAAAAAGGTGAGCCGGGGGAGCAGATGTGACTTGATGTAAGTCACCGAGTCCTCGCACTTCGGTAAATTGAATTGCTCTTTTGCTCTCATGGTGCGCTGCTCTCAGCCTGCTTGAAGTATTTCCAGTTTGTTATTTCATGGTTTACTTATTGCCTGTCTTCTGGACCCTCACACCTCTGCAGTGTGCCCCTCCCTGCACCTGTACCCTCCCCACCAAACCCCACCCTGTACCCTCACCATTGACCCCCCCCCCTCCCAGTACGACGAGCTGCGTCACGATCTGTCGGGCCCGGTGGACTCTGTGGACGAGCTGGCCGCCTGGGTGGACCGGCTGGCGCCGCCGCTGCTGCTCCGGTTCGGCGACAACACTGCCGATGACGTGTTCGACTCGTCTGGTGACGGCACGCTGCTGCTGTTCACGCCGGCCGATGGGGAGTTGTTCGAGGAGACGACGGCTGTCACCAGAGCCGTGGCGCGCGACCATAGGGGCGAGGTAGGTGGGAGCCGCCGGACATTTAGAGGCTCGGGATCGCAGAGACAAAATGGGCATTGAAACTGAAAATTATTTTGAGCTAGCTTTATGTAATTATGCAAATGAACCTAATGAATAAATCAGCTTATTTTGGAAACCAACGACTATTAATTCCTGAATTCGAGGCTAACAGCCGTACATGATTGTCGTCAGCACGGACAATGATAGTGTTTAATAAATCGAATACGTAGGATTGATACCTGGGTTGACCAATTCACCCACAGAAAAAGGACGTCATTGAATGAATGGGACGAATTTAAAATGGAATTCGTAGACCACTATATATCTCGACTAACCATTCCGCTTATCTCCCCGGCGCAGATGCTGTTTACCTGGGTGGACGTGAACGAAAAGTCGTTCAGTCGCGTGCTGGAGTTTTTCGGTGTGAAGCCCTCGGACGCTCCGACTGTGCGCGTTGTGCGTCCGAGCGACATGACCAAGTACCGGTCAGAGAAGGGCGGCCCGCCGACCCGTGAGAGCCTACAGGAACTGGTGACGGCCTACCTGGGCGGCGAACTGAAGGTGAGGGAGAGGAGAGGGGGATAGAGGGATGGGCGCAGTCATGAGAAGCGAGGGTGCGTTTATGACTTCAGTGACTTATTTCTGATATTGCTTTAACACCTTGCTTAGTGAAGCTTTTTGAAATTAAATGGTCAAATAATAATAATAAAATCATTCAAATCAGCAAATCATTATCATAATCATTAAATCATAAAATCATTCAAACTCTTAATCACTATTTCTGGAAGCAGCCAAGTATTCAAAACTTCTCGGTTGGCGTCGGCCATCTCGCAACACGCTTGTGCAGCAATACTCCCTGACTGATCAGAGCCCCTCGCGTCCCTGCAGCAGCTCACCCTCACCCACTGACCCCCCCCCCCTTCCAGCCGTACCTTCTAAGTGAGGACCTGCCGGCCGACTGGGACGCCAAGCCGGTGCGCTACCTAGTCGGGTCCAATTTCGACACCGTGGCACTCGATAAGAGTAAAACGGTGCTGGTGGACTTTTACGCGCCCTGGTGCGGCCACTGCCGTAAACTGGAGCCGGAGCTCGATAAGGTAAGGAGGATATTCTTGAAAAAGGTGCGTGTCACGCGAGTGCTAGTTGGGTTTTTGGGCGCATGGATTGCGAAAGTCATCTGCGTCTCAAGTTTGCGGTCGGGGTTGGCTAAGGAAGGGAGAGATGTGCCGGATCTGAAGGTACCGAATGGAAGTGGCTATAAGGAGTGGCTGGCGGTGCTGTGGGGATTCCGCAACACGCGTCCGCTGGTGAAATAGCGAGCTATCTTTATGTCTGCCGCTAAATATTGCACCGAAACCGGCAGCGATGGTCGGGTGCGAAACGATCCAGTTGATGCATTTGGCGATTTCACGTCTGCTTTAACGGTGTGTGCCGTTGGTGTTTGGAATGTGAGTTTATTTTGATTTGCCATGATCCCTAAAACAAGTCTAAAACAATACATCAATGCAATGTCACCACGACCCAACATTGCATGACGGCCACGCGTTTCCGTTCTATGACGCTTCCTCCCTCCGCCCCACACAGCTGGGTGAAAAGTACAAGGACTCCAAGACCGTGCTCATAGCCAAGATGGACGCCACACAGAACGAGCTGACGCACACGCGGCCGCGCAGCTTCCCCACCATCAAAATGTGGAAGAAGGGCACCAATGAGGTGGGTCTGGAGCGGGACGATCTTTGAGACCGAGGGGTGGGTGAGTGGGGACGCATGACATTTGGGATCCGGACGTCCGAAGGGATGCTTGAGGTGAATGCTTTGTCGGGGAAAAGGGAACTCGTTGGAAACGAACAGGGTTTGAAGCGTTTTTTGCGCTTGTGTGTCTCATCTATCGAAATAGTTGAGATTATTTTTTGTTGCTCTCAGGCGTTTTTTGTAAGTACAGTACCAAAAGATTGCTTTTGCTTCGGAGCATTACACGTAAAAGGACCTTTGTTTGGCAGCTGAGTCATGTGTAACGCTTTGTGTCATTTTGTGTCATGTGTGTCATGTGTCATTTGAGTGTGACGCTGTGATGCCGCACTGGGACGGTGTGATGACACAATGCGCCCTGTGCCCCAGGTGGTGGAGTATAACGGGGAGCGGACCGTCGGCGGCATGACCAAGTTCATAGAGACGGACGGCGAGTACGGCAAGGCGCCGCCCGAGGAGGATGATTATGACGACGACGAGGTGAGGTGCTCTGTGGGCACGGGAAACTCGCGGCTCAGAATTCTGCGGCGTACACGGGATTTACGTGTTTCTGGTGGTTGAGGGCAGGATCCTCGCAATTGGGACTGAGTAGTGGATTTTGATCTCAAAATTGGGTCCATCTCTGGATTTACATTTACGTTAAAATGAGGTTTGAATGCCCTATGTCGGTTTCCTAGAGCGCCCGTTCACTGTTAACTGGGTGGGAGATTGTAGTGTGTAGTTAAAGGGCTGAGACTCCCGAATGAGCTGCAAGGGGTCAGAATGAACCAGGCACCACGGGCTCTTAGATTGTATTTTAGAAAAGAAACTTATAAAAGAGGCTGATGTCTCCGAACGTTCACATTTATGTTATGATGGCCCAGCCCATTACAATCTCTGTCGTTAGATTTGAAGGATTTATTCCTGTGATAAAGACCGCTCACTGTAAGCGTTCGCTTCCATTTTGAGATCTACTTACACCACCCACCCCCTGCGCAGGATTTCGAATACAGCGAGGACTACACCGATGATGACGAGTACGCCGGACACGACGAACTGTAAGCTACCCGTCTCCCGGCTGCGCGTCTCCATCGTCGCTGCTCTCATCGTCTGTGCAGTTAGCGACATCAGTGGAGGATTTGGTAGCGGCAGGATATCATTCTATCAGCAAAAACCCTTGAACACTACAGACTTTCTCACTGTGAAGGATAGAATGACGTGCAATTGTGAGACACGTTGTGAGTGGTGGGTGTTGTTGGTAGGCGAATAGTTTTGCAATGTAAAAATACTGAAAGTTATATGCAAGTTTCGGTGATATTGAACTAGATAGTGCGAAAAGTGTCGGTGTATGTCGGGTGCGCTTGTCGTGTCTTTGCGCTGTCATGTTTTTTATAATATGTAAGGTGTAGGCTTTTTATTTCTAGCTTGGTAAGTTATTATTTAGTTGGATGACTCGTTACGGAGCCTTATCATCCCGAATTAACCTCGCGGAGAAATGTTGAAATGTGTAAGCATTTTACGCAGAATTAATGCTACACTGAACACGTTACAAGAGATTATCACGATTCCAAAGAAATACACGTATAACATGTGTTGCTTCGTAGCTCGTAAGTGAAGCGTTTATATTTTGGGTTCATAACTTTCACGCACTGTTACGGCGCCTATTCCTGCAATCGAGATTTCTGCGTTACCTAAACAGAGTTTAAGGCTGGGCTGCGGATGTGTGGATATCTGTACGTTGCCTGGAGTGGGAATTTGCCGCTAAAATGTCTTCCATCGGTGTCAGTGGTGTTTTTTAGACTCGTTCGCTCGGTCAGAGTTTTCCAGTTCATTGTCAATAGACAATACTTTTCATAATGTCGTGTTTTGCTAATGCAGTTCCCCGTTATAGTGGAATTTCTTACGTTAGGTTACCCATTTAGACTTGATAATTAACACGCTGAAAACTAGGTGAGCAGACAGCTTTGCAAGATCGTTCTGATTTAGCTAGGCATTGAGAGGAACAATAAGATCAAGTTCACGAGCGGGTCATTATTTTTCAATAGTGCCTTCTCGTTAATTCACTCGATCACAGCGTGCAAGACGGAGCTGATGGAGCTGATGAAGCAGTAGCAATACAAGTGTTAAATGAAACTTGGCGTATCAAAAGCATAAATAATCGACAGGACGAGCACGAAAGGAGCGATTTTCAAGAAGCACTGATAACACCGTCACGAGGTGGCCGAGATACTTTTAGCTCGCATGTTTTAGAAGTGCAACCTCTGAACTCGTCCGAACAGTGATGGACGAAGACGGAGATAATGACAGGAAGCCGGCCGATGTCATGGTGGAGGGCATATTTACGTCTGGACAACGAGTTGCGTTGGAGAGGCCGGAAATAGTGGCGATTTCAGGACCGCAAGAATGGACCGTCATTGGAATGATTCTTTTTTAAACCGTGCACTGTTTTCGGCCGGAATTTAATAATTACTACAAAACATTTTGTAATTACGTTTCCACCAAGAATGAATGCCATCAGGGCTAATTTTTTACTACTTTCTTATTTTGTCAAGAAGCATATAGTGCTGTCATATTGCAGTTTTAGCGCGTTTGTTACAAAATATGAAGCGAAAAGCGTCAGTGTATATCAATATCAATATTGTTCACTATTTCATTTGTGCCTTCATGTCAGTATTGAAGGTGGATCATTAAATTTTCAACGCAGTTTACAAACAAGCATTTGGTCTTTCTCGTACATAAGCAGTGGCTAAGAAAAGGTTGATCAATCCTGAAGTTCAGTCATCGTACCTCAACTTAGCAGCAAGATCCCCAAGGACAGAGGATATAATATATTGTATACATGTCCTGTAAATCAAAACAAACAAGCATTTGGTCTTTCTTGTATATAAGCAGTGGCTAAGAAAAGGTTGATCAATCCTGAAGTTCAGTCATCGTACCTCAACTTAGCAGCAAGATCCCCAAGGGCAGAGGATATATTGTATACCTGTCCTGTTAATCAAAACATTTTTGTGCCTGCAAAGGCTTAAGTTATCTGTGGTGTGTTCGGACTTTGGAGTTAGGCTATATGGCCATTTTTGTTGTATGTTTATGTGGAGATTGAATATAACTGACACTGTGCTTGTTTGTATACTTACTATCGTCAAACAGGGAACAGCACATTCACATAACATACTCACCTAGCACCTAACTCATAGCTGTACCCTGCAGGATCTGTACTTGTTCATGTCTCGAGCATTAACAAAGCACTTAAGTAGCTTAGTAATCATTTCCACATTTTCTGAGCATCTAACATGACATACAGCAGTGCTGAGCAGCTTCAGAGAAGAAACACTTTAAATGCACAGACTCACACTAGCCACCCAATGAGCCAATTCCTCAGTTGACTGTTTCCCTGGATGCAGCTTGGCAATGTGAGCTAACTTTTGGCAAGTTGAAGGTTAGCAGGTAAGATTGAGTTAGGGTGAGTACTGAGTACCTATCTATAACTGGGTGCTACTGCTATGCAGGTCTTGGGTAGGCTGCAAATATGTACGTGATGATTGAGGTTAGGTCAGCTGTCAGGTTAGTCAGGTATGCTCATTGCTCAGGTCACATTTTTATGGACACTTGGCAAATTAAAAAAAAAAAACTAACAATCTAATCTAAGCTAACCTGACTAAACATACACAACTACTGACTATAGGAACTAAGCACCTACCTACTTGTGCCTACATCTCATACCATGTCAAAGTAGAGTTCCTTGGTGGAAGATTACCATCAGTACTTTTTATCCCAACCCTGTGATGAAAACTAATACTTCTAAGCTCTGAGTCAGTACTTGCCATCCACAGGAAGAAACGCTGAGGCTGAGAGCTTTGCCATTGTATATTGGACCAATAATCACTATCACGAATGACTATGAAGTATGAACACATTATATGATCACATCGTTGCATGGATTGTCACATTGACAATTTTACTACAATCCTTTTTCAAGAAATACAGTGATGATTAACATCAAAATCAACATAAAGTGGATTTAGTGATCCAAGCTTTCTCCTCCAGTAGCAATGGAATGATCGCATGTTTCATTTGCCAGCCAGAGTACCTGATGCACATTATACAATCTGCATAGCATCTAAGCATACTGCATAGTAAAACTGCCCAAGTCCATTCATTCTAGATTTCTAACTTGATAGTTAGCACTAATTTATCTTGCTGTTGTAAGTTATCATTCAATATTCATACCAATACATGAATATGCGCTCATCAGTCAACATTTTCTGGCATGATCCTGCTCAGCGTGCTCTTCAGTATTGCTCCAAGGTCTGCAATATTATAGCTTGTTTTTGGCCAATAAGCTCTTTTAATTTAACTTTTTCTTGCTGATATATGAGCCCGATCAACTTTCGTTTATCAACCAAAATTTCATAACCTGTTCAACTTTGACTTGATATCAATATTGATATTGCTCAGGAGGTGCGCCTCAGGAGTCAGGACCTCTGTCAGCCTCCTGGATACTTCAGATTGTTTTCAGTCAACATGCTTCTTATATATGATATAAGTCAATCTTAAGGGATTCAAAACATCCAACAAAACGACGTACAAGAGTAAGAAAACCACCAGATAAACTAAAAATGGCCTTGGAACAGAGCCAAGTGGTGCTCCATTTGTTTGTTTACAATGATTGTAGTGCTGATGTATTTTTAGGACTCTGAACGTCGGCTTATAAAAAAATGAAACGTTTTTACAAACGTTGTAAGGCAAGTAATATTTATCTGAAAGAACTAAAATATTCAAAAGCCAAACACTATGAAATACATGAATCGGAACGAAAAAGTAACCCAAAAATCCAGCCTAATCACCGGCTCCTAAAACTGCAACAAAATCAGCACTTTTCCCCGCAACTCGTTGTCCAGACGTAAATATGCTGGTGGAGGAAGGTGGGTGCCAAAACAACCTACACCGCTTGCTCTGTCGCATCTTAATAGAGTTGCAAAGTTTCCCCCAAAGGCTGCTACCGGCACCGCCCCGCCCCACAATTTTTTTTTTGGGGATACCGGCATGCTACCACGCCCAAAGCAAAAACACCACCAAATTACCGGCATACTAAAAAACCTGCATTGTTGATTCCAGTTTACCCCTACAAGAGATGCCACATTTTCCTCTTAGTGTCCAAAGTTTGAATCATATGCTAATATTTTTTTGTGCAAAACCAAAAATACCGGCATGCTACCGGCAGGACATGCCAGATACCACAAAAAAACCTGCGGTAGTGAAAAATTACCGGCATGCCGGTAATGCGGTAGGGAAACTTTGCAACTCTACATCTTAACCACCTGCGAACGTACCCCGCACTCAACTGGAGATGCACCATCCTTAAATGTTGCAGCCTCTTTCCTGGTTCTAATCAAAATGATCGAAAGTATTTTGCGAAACCCCTCCCCCACTGCACCCTCTTCACCACTCTCCGTCTAACCGCCTAATCCGTCAATCCGTCCTGACAACCCTCTACCCTCCCCTCCGATCCTGCAGGCGCTCACTCGGACCCGTCTCCGGTGACCCGCCAGCCGCCGGCGCTGGGGGCCGCCGCCGCCGACCCGCCGCGCGCCTCTCCCCTGCTGTTCCTGCGCCAGCCGGGTGTGGCGGCCGCGCGCGAGCTGCTACAGCGCTGCCGCGCCGGCCGGCCGCTCCACCGTCTGCGCGGCGCGCTCTTCTTCGTGCTGCTGTGCTGCTGTGTGGCGGCAGGTCTACTGCGGGGTCCGCCCACCTGGCAGCCGCCGCCGCCGCCGCTCGCTGCGCCCACAGAGGTGCTGCCCATCACTGCCCGGCGCAGCGGAGCCCTGCTGCCGCCCAGGGTCCAGTTCAAGCCGCACAAACCCAGGGAGTCGATGGTGATGGGGTTCGGTGGGAATCTGTGAGGGCGTGTGGGGAGGGGACGGGGGGACGCGAGTTTGGTGACGCTGAGATATGAACCTGTAAGCCGAGATTTCACTGATATTGTGTAAATGAACATCGCAAGTCATACTGTCAGTTTCTGTGATGAGTCGAGCAATGTCTGAAAATGTTTGTCATTTCATAACACTGACAGAATTCTGTCATTTCTCGTATTCAAAACACGCTCGATACTGAGCCCACTTTGGCAAATATGGCAGATAAGACAGTGATACGTCCTTGTGAAAAGCATCCATTTCGCAACCTCCAGCTTTGACAAAAATGTCAAGGAACCTCATAGGTCATCTGGGTCATATTGAAACAAACACACGTGATAAGTGGGCGCAAAATGACCTCGTAGTCGGCGCGCCCCTAACCCCAACAAACACACGCGGCAATGGTAAAAATGCGTTTATTCGTTTTGTGATGCAGCTCGCTAGCCTTTGGCGGAGCTGGCTCAGCCCTTACCCGCCATACCCGAAATTCGCCCCCCCCCAACCACTCCCCCCCCCCCACATGGAATACACGACAGCGCACCGCCCCTCGCCCGTCCAAAGCTGTCTACAAAAGGTCAATACTTGTGAGTCGCCTCCTCCGCAGCCGCGATTCGCCCAGCGCTCTAGCGTTCTACGGTCCACACGAAACACGGTTTTGACGCCGCCGGCCGGGTCGTTAACATTTTCACTACGGTAAATATTGTGTACGTCTGAGGTATGCATCAGGTATTGTACGGATACAAAGTGCGAACGCCGGTTATATATTGGTTAAAGCGCTGTAGTTAGTGGCAAAGGCGCGGCGCGGCCATTCGAAGTCCGTCTCTCGTTAACGCTCTGCGAGTTTGTGCTCAACATTGACGAAGCCGAGGAGCCACAAGCCGACCGGTGAATGCTCACTGAGAGCTTAAAGGGACCTCTGGTGGACCTGTCCTTAGCGCTTCACTCAGTCGTCGTAAATGGTTCCTAGTCTTCACCAGAATGTCGAGACGAACGCCGCAGTGGTGCGCACAATTCGGTCTGGAGGCGACGAATGCCATCCGCTCGGACACAGCCTGACTTGGAGCCGGCGCGGGGTCATATTTCGAGCCGCGAGCGACTGTGGGGCCCGGCAGAGACACACGCGGCGCGCGGAGGGTCAGCATCGTCTACCAGAGAGAGAGCGTGCCTGCCTGCCACCAGGTAAATTTGACCTCACGCGGTATATTCCAGCATCGACAGAAACTCCAATCCCCAGGAAATGTGATAATAAGCACAAATAAGTTACCAAAAAATAGGATTTTGTTGGAAAAAATGAATTCGTGTCGAACATAAAACATTCCACCTATCAACGAGACAAATCACCCAAACATTTCATACAATTCGAAAAAATATCAGCTACAGACCTCATCGGTCAAATGTTGGCAGGTACGCTGTTTCCCGGCTACGATCGGCCAGCCTCTGAGGCGCCCGCAGTTGGCAAACGCAGTCAGAAACCTTCCCTCGCTGCGCGATCCCCTTCTAACACAAGCATCCCGGCTGAACCGATTCCAAAACACTGCAGTCTGAAGGCGCGCGCGCTGCAGCTGGCTGACCCATGGCGAGCTAGCCGACCCGAAAAACACTCCTAAAAAATTCCCGCTGCGGCAGTGGACGATGCGCAACACAAGCTCTCGTTCTATAGACTCGCGGACGCGCGCGCGGGGCGCCGGGGCGGTCTGCCTGGCCGGCTCAGTTTATCTTTGTATGGCAGTCGGCGGCGCGCGGCCGGGCGCGGCTCCCACACGTCTGTGACGCCGCTCACCGCCCCCGGCAGCCACCCGCTCACCGAGGACGGTCCGTGACGACGGCGGCGTCGACAGGACCCTCCTCACCGCCGTCACCGACACTCCGACACTCCGACGACGCAGAGTGTCGACGCCGAGTGTCGGTGCGGCCACATCAATTGGAAAAGGCGCCTAGCGGTCAGTGGGGCTACTGGAGCCAGCGCGGCTGGCCGCCCGGACCGCGGCCCTGGTGCTGCGCCTGCACCTGACCCAGTATCGCCTGCCGGCGGAGCGGAGGGGAGCGCTGCATCAGCCGGCGGCCAGGCCGGGGGGCTGGACATGCGTAACAGGGCACGGCTGGTCGACGAACGACACATGGGAAAACAAAATGTTGGGCAACAGCTATTCTGAGAAACAGTGAGACCCTACCACATCTAGCTTCAATTTGGGATTAAAAATGGGTACAAGTCCGCAGTATTTTAGAACGCCATCAGGGAAGCGGCTTTTATCAAAAATCTTACCAGACACAACCATCAAAATAATAACTAAGATCGTTACGCGATAAGCTCGTAAACAACAACTTATTTGACAACATAAAATAAATCAGCCCACTACCCAAGTCTCCCGTCTCCCTCTCAGTTTCTCCTACGCTCGCCCTACCTTGTCTATCCTCTCCAGGTCTGCCACCAGCTGCGCTTTGAGCGTGTTTAGGGTGCCCACGGGTAACGAGTCCAGGTCCGATACCGGCCGTACGCCGTGCAGCTCAGACCTGGGGGAACACATACAGGTATCATAATGGTAGCGCTGGGAACAGATACAGGTATCATTGGTAGCGCTGAGGGAGCAGATACAGGTATCATTGGTAGCGCTGAGGGAGCAGCTGATACAAGTACCGTATTTGGTAGTGCCGAGGGAATAGATACAGGTATCATTGATAGTGATGGGGGAGCCGACACAGGTATAATTGGTAACGCTGAGGGAGCAGACACACCATATAAGGTGATGATGGTGACGGATCGATGTTCATGATGCTATGGGGTTTTCACGAATCGTATCCAGTCATATGCGTCACTAAGCAATCGCTGCTAAGTGCATGGCACCCCACTGAACTGAAGACTGACTTCACCCGCCAGAGTTTTACCCTCACCCGCCACTAGTATCTGCCCTCACTCTCTATGATCTCGTCCCTCACCTAATGGCGTCGATGTCCCGCTGGAGGCCCTGCAGCCGCCGCTGGCTCTCGTCTCGCGCCTGTTCCGCCATTTTGGCGCGCAGTTTGAATTCCTCGGCCTCGCGCTGCCAGGCCTCGCAGGCTGTGCGCGCCTGCAGCAGGGACTCCTCCCACTGAACCAGCTTCAGCCGGTTCTGAGAGAGCTCCTCCCGCAGCCGCTGTACCTGAGTCGGCCGGCACACACAACGGAGTCAGATGGGTTGATGTCGGATGGGTGAGGCAGGAATCATGTATGTATGGTGATAAGTTGCGATTCTTAAGTTGTTGATAAACCCTCGGCTCCTGATGCCATCAGTGTCCGAGTTATTTACAGGACTGACGATCATTGCATCCTTTAGAGAAAAGTACCAATATGGTGGTGGAATATCCTCGAATGAAGCAACCTGCCAAACACCAGTTGATTAAAGATCACAATATGCTCCAGTAAAATACAGCCTCGAATCTCGATTAGCCGTCATATTTCCGCTAGCTAGAGCGAGCTTAGGACTGCTTTTCTCATTCCCTTTCGCTGTGCTTCATCTTTCACCTACCTCCAGCGCGCCGAAGCTGTTGCCGATCAGAGGACTCTGAGAGATGAGCTGACCACCGATCGCCCCCAGACTGGACTTGGTCGGGCTGCCGCTGTACTCGAACAGGCTGTTACTGCCGTACATACTGTTACTGCGGCCCAGCAGACCCTGCGGTAGAGGACAGACTGTTACTGCGGCCCAGCAGACCCTGCGGCAGAGGACAGACTGTTAATGTCGTACAGACTGTTACTGCCGCACAGACTGTTACTGCGGCCCAGCAGACCCTGCGGTAAAGGACAGACTGTTACTCTCGTACAGACTGTTACTGCCGCACAGACTGTTACTGCGGCCCACTACAGACTGTTACTGCGGCCCAGCAGTTTCCATAAGACAAACATATTAAGTACCAAACAGTATTTACTAGGGTGACCCGCGTGCTCCGCAACGCGAAAAGGGGTATTTTCTATCGGCGGGTGTTTGGTTGTTCTTGTGTCGGTTGGGTTATCCATCCATTTCGGTGGATTGCTTTTTGACGGCTAAACGATTTGGTTTGGAAAAAATATCCACCGCATCGAGGTGCCCGTGTCTGATAGCATGCTTTCCACTTCAGAATCTGTCAAATGTGTTTTATAATTCAGGTGCGTAGTTTTATGACCAATGAAAGGCGTAGATAATTTTCGCTAAAAATCGTTTTGCAGAGGTTTGAAATATTTATATATTTAAGAATACTGTTGCTTGTCATGCAAACGTGATGATTGGATCTTGGAGAGAATTGAATGCTCTTTCCAATGATGGCATTTTCAATTGTCAAACGTATTAGGTTAAGCAGCAAAATCCGTGTAATTATTTAGTGGCACATTTTGGACAAATACCATTTAATTCAGCGATTTTTTCCACATTGTTTTTGATCAATTAGCTTTTCACAATTTTTCCATGAGAGACGGTACATTTTTATTGCTAATAGGCGCTGTTTCAACTCATTCCGTCTGACGATCACCTGAAATTAATATAAATTCCAAAATCCGTCCAAAACGTCCATTTTTCAAAAGAAAGTGTCCTCCCCGGTGCACGTGGCGCGTGCCATCCTCCGCATCGCACACCATTCGATTGCCCATTCGATTCTCTACACGATGCTGTTTTCCCCGTGCCGATCGGGCGCACATTTACCGAGATATTGCACCGGGACCGGACCCGTGTCGGGCAAATTTGGCTGTTTTCGCCCGTTTTTGCCAGCCGATTAATACATGTAAAGTCTATGACGCGAATTTGCACTTTTTGGGCACGCGCCACGCGCTCGCTATCGATCCGATCGAGCTGAGACCCATCAAAGACACGTTGTCCATCCTTGTTCTATGAGTTGCGCAAACTTCAGCGCGGTAGGTGCAACGGTGTGACCTGTAACCCGCGCTACGTAGCACCATGTCGCGACCTTCGTAATAGACAGAAACTACGTCACCACAAATAGTAATATAGATTACAAAAAGCACGAGTTTTTCCTGCCGATATAACGAGCGAACAAAGCTGACTACAAATCTGAGGCCTGTTTCACTAACAAATAAAGTGTGTAATTACAAAGAAAAAACTTGAGTTTAAAAGAAATAATTACCAACATTTGAAATTTGGATTTCACGAAACCTTCGGGCATGAATTTTGAGTTTAAAATTTGCAAACTTTTTTACAAGAAAAAGTTTGCTAGAAAACACGGGAATCGCAAACTTTCTGTTTCACGAAGACCAGAAACTTGAAAGAAAACATCGTAATTACAAACCTGAAATTCCAGTGGTCCTGACGTTCGGAATTTTGATACTTTTTTGTGCAATGACGCAAAGCAATCAATTATTTAAAACAAATATGATATGCTGAGTCATTATATGCTCTTTTTCACTTAGCACATTCCCTACGAACCAGCTACGAGCAATAAATAAATATCGTCATGTTTTGTCATTCGCGCGCCATAATTGCATTCAACAGTCTTCTGCTGTCAAATGTTTTACGTGTTATTTTCTTTCAATAATAAGATATTGTGAACTATCATTTATACCACTCAGAAACAGCATCATTATTTTTAATTTATTCCTGCAATTTCTGACATGAAAACTAGACATAGTTTGATAAAAAGAAGCGATATCTGTAACATGTTAAAGTTCTTGATTAAAAACAACTTTATTGTTTACATGTTTATTTACCAACTCTTTTTATCGGAGGTGCCGCTGGTGATGAAGTTTAGTGAAACCCGATTTTACATAGTTTGCAAAAATACTTATGAATTGTAAAGTTCAAACACTTGTAATCGCAAGTTTTTAGTGAAACAGGCCTCTGACAACAAATCTGACTTTAATCTGACTAGAAAATGTACAAGCGCAATTATATGGATTCACAATCAGACGAAAGCCTATCAGCATAACATGCTGTCTACCAACCGACCATTGCCTGACCTGGTCCACGCTGCCGCCGGCGCGCGAGCCGAGCAGGGCCAGTCCGGAGAGCAGCGGCGATCCGGCCGAGGGCGACAGGCCGCCCAGCGGCTCTCCGAGCCCGGCGCGCGGGATGTTGACCGGCGCCGAGAGGGCGGCGCCCAGCGCCTGCTGCTCGCGCTCCTCCCGCTCCAGCTCACGGTCAATCTGAGCCATGACCCCGTCATCGGCGTCCCCGGCCGGGTCCAGAGACATCTGACCTGTGGTCACAGAGGTCACAGAGGTCAGACGGAGGTCACACAAAGAGCAGAGGTCACTCACAGCCGGGTCCAGAGACATCTGACCTGTGGTCACAGAGGGCAGAGGTCACTAATGGCCGGGTCCAGAGAAATCTGACCTGTGGTCACAGAGGTCACAGAGGTCACTAATGGCCGGGTCCAGAGACATCTGACCTGTGGCCACAGAGGGCAGAGGTCACTAATGGCCGGGTCCAGAGAAATCTGACCCACCACGGGAGATCACAGAGGTCAGAGGTCAGACAGAGAGAGGTCACACAAAGGGCAGACGTCACTTATAGCCGGATCCAGCCACAGCTGATCCAACAGGTCACGACGATTCCGCTACGGACCCTTCCAAAAATCAAAATCCTAGCATTATTCATTTCTCCCTTCATCATTAATCCACCGGGCCGTTCCCCATCCAGTCCTCCTTTGCCCGCCATCATAATCTTCCCGCCTCTCCTCTCAATCCCCCTCCCCTCTCCACCCCACCACCCTCGTCTCTGCACCCCCGTCCCTCTTCCCACTGACCCATCATACTGTCCAGCGGGTCGGCCGGTCCGTACAGCCTCCCGCCGGCGGCGCCGGCCGGCACGCTGGACGACAGCGGTATCCCCAGCGACGCGAACAGGCTGTTCTTGCGGCGCAACTTCTCCATCGGGTCCAGCCGAGGGTCGGTGTCGATCTCGTGAATCCGCCGGCGCAGCTGGGCCTGGGAGCGGGGAACGGTAGTCAGGTCTCGGAGGGGATGGACTGTACTTAGCTCCAACATACGGTTAAGTGGTAAATAGCTACTACAAATAGGCGGAGAAATAAAAGTGAGTAAAATAAACAGGCAAAAACTGAGCAATAAAAATGGGCAGAAATGGAGAAGGGAAAATGAAATAAAAACAGAAATTTGAAGTAGTATGAAACGCATCACAAGAAATAAAACCGACGTCCTTCCAACGGAGCCTATTCTGCGCAAATATCACCACTCTACCACCACCAACTGTGGTCTCCCCCCTCCCCAGACTCACGTCTTTCTCGCCCCGCTCGCTGCCGGGCGCCTTGGGGTAGTTGCCGCCGCCGGCCGGTCCGCCCGCGTGGGCCGCTGAGCCGGCCGGCACCGCCAGTGGTGAGGTGTGAAACGGCAGCGGCTCGGCAGCCGACGAGGTGGGCCCGCTCAGCGTGCGGGACTTGCCGTGGCCCGACAGCGCGCCGCTGTTCAGGTCAGACTGCGAGAGGAGGGGAGAGCAGGGTCAACACTCAATAACGAGATGGGAGGAAACGGATCGGCAAGATTGCAGAAGTCAGATCAAGAACGGAGGGGGATTAAAATGAAAAACAGCGCATTGACCACTGTTATTGGTACACAACAACAACAACAACAACAACAACAACAACAACAACAACAACAACAACAACAAAAAGCTATATTTCTTGCAGCGCCTCACGAATATCCTTTGTCCATCCGAACCTCACGGCCACTGTAAGTTGGCGCATGTCAGTACGCCCGCATGCCACCACGGCCTCAGCGAGTCTGTCGATCTGACCTCAGCGCTGACTGCACGCTCACTCCTCGGCCTTCCTCACCATTCCGCGAGTCTCACCAGCGAGTGGCGTCCGTTGCGGTGAGGTTTGTGCGGCGCCGGCCCGTCACCGTGCTCAGCGATCTTCCGCGGCTCCTCCTGCGGCAGTGCCGATGACACGATGTCGGCCAGGCACGTGAGACCGGGCGCGCCCACCTCCCTGCCTGACACCATCTCATCTGGAAATAGACGGAGAACACCGATATCACAAAGGGATGACGACCTTACTACACGCAGGGCATTTACACCTGGGCCCAATCTTACCAAATGCCGTGAATGCGCATTCACGGCATTTGGTAACATTCAGAACTATTCCACATTCGTTTATTCATTCATTCAGACAACATTCATAATCATTCATGCTATCAAAATCATTGGACAATATTAGCTGGATGTAAATAAAAAGGATTTCTTTGATATCAGTGCCGTAAACTCCGGCCAGTGCTGCCAAATCCTATTTACGGCATTGGTAAGATTGGGCCCTGGATCTGCATTTTATATTGCTTTCCAGAATGCATCATGTAGGTTATAAAAATAGCAGTCTGCATGGCGCCAATAAGTTTATTATTATTGTTGAACACAAACGTATAATCTTTATTTGCATCCGTCTTTCCTCTGCTCAACCCCGTGAATCCATCTATTCTGCCTTATTTTCACCCATCATTCATTACATTTTGCTGCTAAACCTTAATTCTTGCACTGAACCTCGACTACAGCTGTTCTCCCGCACACGCCCCCGCTGTTTCATCCTCTCCTTCTTCTCCCTCTCTCCTACTAACATCACTCCACATAGCCCAGGCCCTGTGCTCTTCCTTCTCCTTCACTCACTCTCGACATGCGCGAAGGCACAGAATGCGGCGCGCGGGCAGTAGCCGTTCTGCTGCACGTCGTTACACCGGGTCGATTTGTAGATCTCCGGGTGGAACTGCTGCTCGGTGCGAGTGTGGCAGTACTGGCAGCTGTCGCCGTGTTCGCAGTTGGCCGGGTCGCCCCACTCGTCCGCCTGCTTCACGTTCGGACATGGAGTCGACCTGGAAAGGGGGGAGGGAGGGTTACACAACGCGGTGAGGGTTAGACGTTGGTGGGGGGGGGGGGGGGGTGAGAGCTGGTGGAGATTTAAGAAAGGTGGACAGGGTTAAAGAGGTTGGTGAAAACGAGACAAGCAGCTCGATTTTAATCGCGAGGAGACAGCAGAACGCGGCACTTAAAACGGAACGAGAGGACGTTCCAGAAGCAAGCCAAGAGGAAGGAGATGGAGTGATCAGAATAAGCAACTGGATTCAAGACTTACGACACCGTCGCTAAAAAAATGAGCAAAATTTGAGAAGAAGAAGTAAAAACTAAAAAATTACGTGTGAGGTGCATGTGTGGCAAAATATTCTTTCAAACGATCAAAGCTTGCTTAGAAAATAAAACACGATGAATCGATCACACATGACTTCTCCAGTACACACGGGCGGGGTCCGGGCGGTCTCTGACTCACCTATATTTGTACTTTTTCGGCGAGCGCCGCTTGTCCCGCGGGTTGTGGAACTGGGGGCACGCATAGCCCTGTCGACACAGCCTGGGGGGCTTCTTACACGGCTCCGTTTTGTAGTTGGCCAGCACGTAGTTCGTGTCTGTGTGTGGGGGAAGGGGTAGGTTAGCTGCCGAGCGCCGCACAGTGTGGTTTGTAGTAAATGAAACACGTCAACCAATGCATGTAGCATGTTTAACTTGCAATTGGAGGCCCAGTCATAATGCACCACTGTTATCTTTGAACCTATACACTATCATTCAACCTGACACAACAAATGGCGTGGATGAATTGGATATTGAACAACTGAATGACTACAACAGGTGATATCGACGGCCTATGCAACACCTACTACCACAACACGATTCTGGCAAGGTGCAAGTCGCTGAGAAACGCCCATAATATCTGCTAAAATTTGTTGATCCATGTTCACTGTCACTAACGATAGCATGAAAATGTTGCAGAAAGTCTTAAAGACCAAGACCTAACTCCATCTCCCCGCCGTGCGTCACTGCCTCCAGTACTGGCCCCCGCGCGCGCCACCTACCCTGCCACTTGGGGTCCTCGCTCATCAGATTCCTCTCCTTGTCGAGACTGTTGGGGCCGCTGCCGGTAACATCGGTCTCCGGATGATCAATCATCTCCTGCTCCTTCTTATCGTACACGGGCGGCCTGAGACAAAGAGGCAGAGAGGAAACGCGTAATGTCGGACTAGGCAGAAGGTTCCAAACACTTCTTTTCGTACAATGAAGGTTTGAAACAGGCACCAATCTCAGAGAGGAGCAGAAAGGGCGGACAGCCACGTAACGCCACACTTAACAGAAAGCCTCAAATAGACATCGAGCAGATAATAAGCAAAGATGGCTGGTGATGAAGTCGAAATAGGACTCAGTGTAGCAATGTTCATTGTAGGCTACAGAGCTGCATTGAAGACAGGTAGGTACTAGCCCACCACGTAGTTAGGACTTACGTCAATATGCAGTAAGACATCTCGCCAGCGCGGGTCCGGGCGCCCCGGCCGTCTCCCGCCTCACCTCATGTCGTTCTGGCCGTGCGCGAACGCACAGTGGACGCCATTCTTGACGCAGAGGCCCCTGGAGTCTGTGTCGTGTACGCACATCCCCGTCTTGTAGTAGCGCAGATGGTAGCGCCGCTCAGTGTCGCCAGCCGTGCGGTGTAAGTTCGGACACCTGCCGAGAGATGGCAACACCGTCAACGCTTCCTCGTCCGTCCGCGAGCCCCGCTTGTCGTTTGTTTACAGCACCCGGCAACGGCATCGCTGCTGCAAAACCACGTGACGATAATACTGCTATATGCCGTTTTTGCCGTCCGCGTTCGGGCTTGTGCGGAGCACACGGCAGACGCGACAGTGCTGCCCCTGGCGGCCGAAGTCGGAACTACCCCGCCGGCCGGCAGGCGATAGCTAGAAGGGGGCGTGGCCTGTGCAGTGCACATGACAGAGCGCCAGTTTCAAGGTCACGTGCACGGTCGCGTTGCACCGGCGCCTGGTCTCCCGTGGGGTACCCACGCGACCTACCGATGAATCAGTGTCAAGGGCGGGAAGGGAGGAAGGGAGGGAGGAAGGGAGGGAGGGAGGGAGGGAGGGAGGGAGGGAGGGAGGGAGGGAGTGAGGGAGGGGAGAGAGAGAGAGAGAGAGAGAGAGAGAGAGAGAGAGAGAGAGAGAGAGAGAGAGAGAGAGAGAGAGAGAGAGAGAGAGAGAGAGAGAGAGAGAGAGAGAGAGAGAGAGATGCCGAATGAATTGTATGCCGCAGTAAGGGTCAGGATATTGCAATGACGGCAGCGCGCAATAAAAAGAAGGAATGTGTCAAGAAAAAAGACTAGAAACAATAGGATGAGGGTGCGGGAAGCGCGAGCGAGGCAGAGGGGAGTGGAGGGAGAGGGAGAGAGTCCAGCGCAGGCTGTGTTTCTGTGCCCGGAGACGCGGCAGAGCCCACCGCCTCTGATGCATGCTGTCACCGCGGCTCGGGACCGATACAGAAACACTGTGTTGTCACCGCGTGCAGAGTTAGAGGTAAACAAACAGCTCGCTGCCCCACGCGAGGCGAGACGTGCGGCTGGGCGGTGCGCGCCCAGGGACGGGTGTAACGACCATCACGAACAGACAACCCGGCATTCACTCTTTCAGTGCGAGAAGGACGCAATAGGTACTGTAGCCTGTACGCACAGACATTGGTAACTTTTGGGGTAGGTATCAGATACATGGATGATGGATGGATGATGAGTATACCAGCAGGTTATTACTGTGCGTGAAATTCAGCGAGACGTTATGCTTCAAAACAAGTGACTATGAAGCATCAGATCAAAGTGCCCCAGCTGTCTGAAATCCAAAGGACAGATGTAACATTAATACAGCTTTAATTTCTGCAAATTGCTGATAATCTTTGCGTCTGCGAGGATCAGCATGAAGAATGCAAGCATGTCGGCTCTAGTCATAGGTACACCAAACATGCTATACAGTACATATGCAAATGGTATGACCCTGAAAACAATTGGACAATTATAAAATGGAAACAGCAGCAAAAAAAAAATCCATGACAGCAAGATTGAGAAAAAGCGCCAAATTCTAACCGCATACACATTGGAATGGCAGAAGCAATTCAGAGATCTGACAAGTTATTAAGGCTTATAATAATAACTAAGTAGGTTTATCTGAGCTACAGGATCTCAATTGAGCATGTATGACAGCTAATATGGGAACATGAGTTTTAACTTTTTTAAATTGGAAAACATTTGACTAAAAAATTTATAAAACAGAAATATTTTCACAAAAAACAAGGATGTGGAGCCGTAGAAATTTCAGACGGCTCCGACTCCGGCTCCGGAGAAAAAAAACGGCTCCGACTCCGGCTCCGCCTCTAGGTGAATGTCATGGCGGCTCCGGCTCCGGCTCGAAGTAAAATGGTCTGGCTCCGACTCCAGTACTCAGTACATCCCCTATACTATTAAATACGGGTGGGACAAAAAAGACGATGAGATTGGTACACGCTGCTTCTGTATTTGCATAGCAAGGCTATTTTGCAGTAGGTAATATGGTTTGGCCTCAAGTCTGTTTTGCCCCAGCAGCTCACACATGCCCGATTTCTGCTGTACAAAGGCAAAAGCTACTATGTGAGGTCAGACTCTGACCTCACATAGTTTTTGCCTTTGCACGGCAGATTTGGGCCAGTGTAAATGGAACACTGTTGAAACAAGGGGGTTGGGTCAACATGGCCCTATTCCAGCTAGCCAGTCTTTGCCATAGCACTCCAAAATTGGTATGGTTTTGAACTGCTCAGACCGACTCCATGCCATGGCGTTCCTACCGCCAGGCCCGGTTATGGGTTACCTACCTTGTAGCTGCTCTGGGTACTATGGCTGAACTACAGTTCAACATCAGCTGTTTTCATTGGGGCAATTCAGCTGCAAGCTTAAAATCGAAATGGAACAGACTATATCAATATATGTATCTTTGCAACCTAGCTATATGTTCAAAAGGCAACAGTAACACCAATAAATCAACACAACACTCAACAGAGCTTGTGGAATTTAGCATGCCAAATGGAATTTTGCCTTCAATGTTTAGATACTTAATGTGCCTTTCAAAAATACATATTTCAGTAGTGGCAGAACACCTTCAATTAAGGGGGGGGGGGGCAGTGCCGACTTTTGGTCCCATTCTTTCCATGCAACGCCCATAGGGCTAATGTTAAAATACTAAAACCAAAGGGGGGCATGGTGCCCAGGCGCCCTCCCCGTTCCGCCGCCTATGATATATTTATATAATTAATCTACTAATTCTTTTAACATGCATTTGATTAAAAACATGCAAATTTCAGGCAGCAAGGTAGGTACTTACTCGTCTCCATCTGGGCATTCTCCAGTTGATTCATCATACTTGGTGCAGTAAACATCTGGGCTATAGTTGAATGTACCATCTCGGCGGAGGATGGGCCTTCGTCGCCGCTGATTTTTGAAATGCCAATGAAAACAAGTGTATGGCCGGTGCTGGTTGCATTTGTGCTGTTGAAAGAGTGGACACTGGTCCACACGGAAATCCTTCAAGTATCTGAAATGGAGGAAAATAAGGGGAATGATCCTGTCTCCTAACAACATATTAGACATCGGTTACTAAACAAAATAGGGAGTCATGTGATATACATCATACTTACGATAAATGTAATGATTTTTCTGAAAAATGCGCGGTCTTGCCCTCCACACGCATTTTCACAACAACGGCGACTACTGCGCAGCGCGTCTGCGCAGAGTTTATTTGATGAGACAGACGCTGATTGGCTAACAAACAAGGCAAGACTATGACGTCAACTTTACGTCAAGGTCATATTTACAATTTACGCACGCGAGAGAAGGAAGTGTCTAAAAAGCAGACAAGCGTCCTAGGCGAGGCCATGCTCCAAAATCGATGCACTGATTTCGATAATTTATCACTATTCTATAGCGAGAAACTAGAACAGGCACAGTTTTTCGTTTTTTTACCTTACCTTACCTTACCTTAGTTGGTCATCGGGTTATAAGGCCACTCGGCCTATGGGTCCCGCTCGTATCGAGTGAAAGGCATAATCGGAGAGGCTATGCCCAGCCAGCCTTCCCAAATGGGGCCCATATGGGCTGAAAGTGGGGCATCTGGGCTTAAGTGGGCATGGGCTACATGTGGGCTATTATAATGGGCTAAATCTGGGTCCCATATGGGCTGAGCCCCAGCAAACATGCCCACATGGGTCCCATATGGGGTGAACATGGGCCAGATGGGCCCACGTGGGACATGGGCTACAGATGGGCATCCCCATATGGGCCCCATAAGGGATAAAAATGAGCCAGGTGGGCCAAACGCATGTGGGCTGGAGATGGGCATTCCATGTGGGTCCCATATGGGGTGAACATGGGCCAGATGGGCCCACGTGGGACACGGGCTACAGATGGGCTATCCATATGGGCCCCATATGGGATAGAAATGGGCCAGGTGGGCCAAACGCATGTGGGCTGGAGATGGGCATCCCATGTGGGTCCCATATGGGGTGAACATGGGCCAGATGGGCCCACGTAGGACATGGGCTACAGATGGGCTACCCATATGGGCCCCATATGGGATAAAAATGGGCCAGGTGGGCCAAACGCATGTGGGCTGGAGATGGGCATCCCATGTGGGTCCCAGATGGGCCCACGTGGGACATGGGCTACAGATGGGCTACCCATATGGGCCCCATAAGGGATAAAAACGAGCCAGGTGGGCCAAACGCATGTGGGCTGGAGATGGGCATCCCATGTGGGTCCCATATGGGGTGAACATGGGCCAGATGGGCCCACGTGGGACATGGGCTACAGATGGGCTACCCATATGGGCCCCATATGGGATAGAAATGGGCCAGGTGGGCCAAACGCATGTGGGCTGGAGATGGGCATCCCATGTGGGTCCCATGTGGGGTGAACATGGGCCAGATGGGCTCACGTGGGACATGGGCTACAGATGGGCTACCCATATGGGCCCCATATGGGATAAAAATGGGCCAGGTGGGCCAAACGCATGTGGGCTGGAGATGGGCATCCCATGTGGGTTCCATATGGGGTAAACATGGGCCAGATGGGCCCAGTGGGACATGGGCTACAGATGGGCTACCCATATGGGCCCCATATGGGCCCCATATGGGATAAAAATGGGCCAGGTGGGCCAAACGCATGTGGGCTGGAGATGGGCATCCCATGTGGGTCCCAGATGGGCCCACGTGGGACATGGGCTACAGATGGGCTACCCATATGGGCCCCATAAGGGATAAAAATGAGCCAGATGGGCCAAACGCATGTGGGCTGGAGATGGGCATTCCATGTGGGTCCCATATGGGGTGAACATGGGCCAGATGGGCCCACGTGGGACACGGGCTACAGATGGGCTACCCATATGGGCCCCATATGGGATAAAAATGGGCCAGGTGGGCCAAACGCATGTGGGCTGGAGATGGGCATCCCATGTGGGTCCCATATGGGGTGAACATGGGCCAGATGGGCTCACGTGGGACACGGGCTACAGATGGGCTACCCATATGGGCCCCATATGGGATAAAAATGGGCCAGGTGGGCCAAACGCATGTGGGCTGGAGATGGGCATCCCATGTGGGTCCCATATGGGGTGAACATGGGCCAGATGGGCTCACGTGGGACATGGACTACAGATGGGCTACCCATATGGGCCCCATATTGGAAAAATGGGCCAGGTGGGTCAAACGCATGTGGGCTGGGGATGGGCATCCCATGTGGGTCCCATATGGATCACCCATGTAGGTCCCATTTAAGTTACTCCAAGAGCATAAAAGCAAAAAAGGTGACTGTTGTTCATGTGAATTTTGGACTCCAAGTGCATACATCAAGTTCATACATGATGCCATATGGGGTCAAAATAGGCTAGCCCATATGGGTCCCATGTGGGGGCCGCGTGGGTCTCATATGAGGCCTACGTGGGCTTGCCCATATGGGTCCCATGTGTCACCCACTGCCATTCCCATGTGGGGCCCATATGGAAGAGGTGGAGGGCCATGTGGGCCCCATATGGAAACCATGTGGGCATGTTTGCTGGGATATGAACATTTCCTTTACTACAAAATTTTGGTATCTGACCCGACACCTATCCGGGCTGGATGCGGGCAGCATGTGGGCAAACTGGACACCAACACGCTGGGCACACCCAGCCGGGGCCCACATGGGGCCCAGCCGCCTACATGGGCAAAATTTACTACAAAACTTTGTTAACTGACCCGACACCTATCTGGGCTGGATCCGGGCAGCATGTGGGCAGACTGGGCACCAACAAGCTGGGCACACCCATCCGGGGCCCACATGGGCAAAAGTTACTACAAAACTAACTGTTAACTGACCCGACACCTATCTGCCCAGCAAACATGCCCACATGGGTCCCATATAGGTTGAACATGGGCCAGATGGGCCCACGTGGGACATGGGCTACAGATGAGCTACCCATATGGGCCCCATATGGGATAAAAATGGGCCAGGTGGGCCAAACGCATGTGGGCTGGAGATGGGCATCCCATGTGGGTCCCATATGGATCACCCATGTGGGCCCCATTTAAGTTACTCCAAGTGCATAAAAGCAAAAAAGGTGGCTGTTGTTCATGTGTATTTTGTACTCCAAGTACGAGTATATCAAATTCATGCATGATGCCATATGGGGTCAATGTAGGCTGGCCCATATGGGTCCCATGTGGGCGCCGCGTGGGTCCCATATGGGCCTACGTGGGCTGGCCCACATGGGTCCCACGTGGCACCCACTGCCATTCCCATGTGGGGCCATATGGAAGAGGTGGGGGCCATGTGGGCCCCATATGGGAACCATGTGGGCATGCTTGCTGGGATATGAACATTTCCTTTATTACACAATTTTGTTAACTGACCCGGCACCTATCTGGGCTAGACGCGGGCAGCATGTGGGCAAACTGGGCACCAACAAGCTGGGCACACCCATTCGGGGCCCACATGGGGCCCAAATGGGCAAACTTTACTACACTTTGTTAACTGACCCGACACCTAGGTATCTGGGCTGGATGCGGGCAGCATATGGGCAGACTGGGCACCAACAAGCTGGGCACACCCATCCGGGGCCCACATGGGGCCCAAATGGGCAAACTTTACTACAAAACTTTGTTAACTGACCCGACACCTATCTGGGCTGGATGCGGGCAGCATGTGGGCAGACTGGGCACCTGAACAAACTGGGCACACCCATCCGGGGCCCACATGGGGCCCAAATGGGCAAACCCCAGCCAGCATGCCCATGTGGGCCCCACATGGGCAGTTGATGGGCATGGTGGGCTAGGTGGGCCATGGGCTAGAGATGGGCAAATATGTGGGCTGCATGTGGGCCCCATATTTTTTGGCAGGCATAATGCTTGATAATGAGATTGCTTGCACATGTACGAGGGCATATCCAGGAATTTTGGTAAACACAGGCATTCACGCGGTGTTCCTGTATGGTGGGCTTAACATGGACACTGCGTGGGCAGCCATGTAGTGGGGTGTAGGTGGGCTGGATGTGGGCAGCCCATTACTTATTTTTTCACTGTCCAATGTGTATGATATTACAAGAAAAAAGAACTCGCTGTTTAGTCTCATGCCTCCAAAATACACTTCGACGTCGTAAGGAAGTCGCATAGTTGATGTTTGTGAGACCAGCTACGGCTGATATTGGACAGTCAATGTTGTGATTGTGTTGTATGATTGTGTCGCCTGAGCCCGCCCCTGCGCGGGCGACACGCCGGCGGAGCTCGGCCCACCGGACGGGGATTGGGGCCGCCTCTGCACCGCCCGGGGCGGTGACCGGCCGACCGGCCGGTCGGCTGGCGGGGCTGCGGCGTCTGGGCGGGCCAGTTGGCGTCTAGACTCTGAGTGGTGTGCGTGTCCAATAAAGCCTTAATTCGGGCGGAACCGACACATAGCGCGGTCGGTATTAGCTCGAACCCGCCCATAGTGAGTACAAAGTGCGATGAACGAAAGTGAAAGGAAGCAGGAATGCGTAGCCGTGGCGGCCGCGCCGCAACCACGACCGCGTTCGAGTCTCGTCGGAGAGGCGCGCCCGCAGCGACGCCAGCTGTATCGCTAGTTGGTCGAGTCGCAGCTGTGACATCAGGACGTAGTCGTCCCATCTCTCTCCCATCTTCCAGAGGTAGAAGGCGTCACTGCGGTCGGTGGAGATGTCCAGTCGGTCAGGCCGGATCGGCTGCAGGCTCGTCATACCATAGCGATTACGAAGGACTGTTCTAGAAGCCCTCCACGCCAGCCACCTGGGGAAGGAGAAGACGAAGGCCCGCGCGAGACAGATCGTCTACTGGCCCGGGATCTACCGGGATGTGGAAAATGTCACCCGCTGCTGTACCAGCTGCCAGAGAGATCTACCCGCTCAGCAGCAAGAGACCATGATGAGGAGACCGCCAGCGGAAAGGCCGTTCGAACTACACATCGACTTTGCCGATCACGCCGGCAGGAAGTACCTCGTGGCAGTGGACAGATACTCCGGGTGGCTGTTTGTCGCCGACCTCGGTGTAAGCGCCCCCGCTTACACCGGTCCGAAGGACGATAGCAGGCGTCATGACGAGCGCACTCGCTACGCGAGTAAGCGTAAATGGACGGCACGGGAAAAAGGGCTTTCGGCGGTACCCGGCTTTTTGATGTCGTGTTCAGTAAGTAATGGTTTTATTTCTTTATTTAATTGCCCAACTCCCTTGGACACCTGATAGCGGATGTCAGAATAACAGCAGCACTCCCATTCATATGTTATTTCAGGTGTCGTCAATTACTGTCCGATTAGTGAATTCCAAGCAGCCGACTTATAAAGCACTAATGTCCTTTGTG